CATACGCTAAGAGTTAAAATGTCTGCAAGTTTTTACACCTTAGCTGACAGGCAGATGAAGAAGGGGATTAATCAGAGAAATTACTTAAAGGTCTATCTAAATGGGAGGAGCAGCAGAGACCCATGTCTCAGGTGGGAAAGCTGTAAATCTGTTGTAAACACTTTTGTAAAGAGTGAAGAGGACTACAAATGGAAAACAGCTATTAGCTAATACCGGTGCAGAGCATCACTTCTCGTTTTGAGATTAATATTTTCTCTGCATTTTCCGTGTTTGTAAATAAAGGAAGAAAAAAGAAGAACAGCATTTTGGGTAAACACGGGTATAAACCCCTGTTTGCAGTTTGTTAAACACCATTTAGGAAACGGCAAACATGTGGAAGAAGATGCTCTGGTCAGATAAAACACAAAGTAATGTGTTTTGGATAAGATGCAGTAATTCTATGTCTGGTTAAAAATGAACTCTGCACATTATTCTGAATTTTACCTCAACACGGTGAAGCAAAGTGTTGGCAGCATTATGCTGTGGAAATATTTGTTTCAAGGAGCTGGTTAGAAATAATGGGTGTAGTAAAACGCAGGGTTATCCTGCAAGAAGAAACATCCAGAACTAAATCTGGGTATAATGGCCTTATCAAACTCCAGCATCAAGTCAAAATGAGATTCAGTCATTTGGAAATTGATATACTTAATTACCATTAATAATCTTAATCTGATGGTCAACCAATGGGACGCACCTCAAAAGACATCTATATACACTGAAAAACCCAATTCTACAAATTACAATTCATCATTACTGTTTTTGCACCAATACCGATCAAGCCCTAAAATGGTATTATCGGTATTGGCGTGTACCAAAAAGAAGGCACCGATACCATTTTGAAAGCCAAAAGTTTATTCAACTATTGTCACCCATTCCAGGTAGGCAGTATTAGTCTTTTTCTGCTTCACAAAGGTAGGCAGCAGCTTGACAAAGCCATGATGGCAATTATTTTACATCCAAGTAATATGCAGTTCTTCATATATACACACATCAATTTCAAACAGATGGTATCGGTACTGTATTGGTACCAGCGGATACTGCACAGCAGAGTATCGGGTATCGGTTTTGGGGCCAAAAAAGGGCATCAGCGCAACACTAATTATTACATATATTTTGGTTTAAACCAACTAAAACATTATTGATTCTTGCAAAACTGGTAAAAGTTCAAGGGGTGTTAACTTTTATGCATACCCTCATACGTTTGCTTTTAACTAAAACACTCAAAATCTATAATGAGGCAATACATTTCTTTATAGAATCATTAAAAAAAGAAGTTGTATTTAATAGGAATGTTTATATAACTCGCCACATTCCTTATTTAAACTCACCTCACCGCCATGTCCTGTTGAACGATCCAGTCACAGCTCACCTGCTTCCAATAAACCGTGTCTACAGGAGAAATGATGGACCCAGCAGCTGAAACCTTTCACCATAACCCCATATCCCAGTCTGCTGTTACTTTCAGCTCAGACGACTCATTCTGAACATCCAAATAGCTCCTGATCTGCTTTGGGGAGATTACAGTTGTCTTTGTATGTGGGTGCGACCTAGTAAAAACAACCGCTGCTGGTTAATGTTTAAACAAAGGAGGGGTAGTGTGATAAGGGAAGCACACAGTACACAGACAGTACTTCCCTGATGGAAATTTGGTCTGTCCCAAGAAATCCAAAGTAGGACATACAAATATCCTGCTTCTTAATCATTATTATTATATTTTAAAGGTGTTTTTTTTAGCTACTGCTGTAAAAACAGAAAAAGAAATAGAGAGTAGAGTTTGTTTTGCTGAAATATATGCAACATTTATTAAATTAGACTTAGAGGAACCAACTACAGCCACATAGAACACTATTTGTGTCAGCTCTATATTAAAATATAAACAGCTCAGGCTTTACCTCTGAGGAACAATTTGTAAAAAAGAAAGCTCTCAATGAGCCAGTAGATGGCGCTCTGTGTTTTCTCAAACTGAAATGGTCTCTTTTTGACATTTTTCTCCCAATTCAAAAACAATAAAGTCACATTTTTTGTTGGAATGTAACCTTTCCATGTTTCTTAGTCACAGTTGAATCAGTGAATATAAGCTGGAAACAGAAGAACCACAATTATAATACATCAGTATCTGTTTAACTGGAGGACAAAGCAGCTTTTACTGGGTCCTTTCATGTCCAAAACGCTGCCACACAGAGTTTCATTGTACTGCTTTGTGATGCTTTCCATGAGGCGGGCCACTCCATGGATTCATATGGATTCCGATGGCGCTGGTCCCTGGATGTTGAAGCAGTTTGAACTCAGTCCTGCCAGCGTCAGAGCGATGAGTCCCATGTTTTCTTCCCTTTGTCCCATTTACATTACATATGTAATGCCCAATTTATTCCTCCAAACAAACCAGTAACAAATATCCATTTCCACCTGTGACCTTTACTTAAGATTTTTCATCATGGAGGAGAAAAAAGGAGGGTTGGAGTATTTGGGTTCTGTTTTTCTTTCACCCAATCAGACAGTCGGCAGCGGCTGAACTCTTGAGCCCTGATATTTCTGCTTCCAGCAGCAGGAGTGGATGCAGGCGATCAAGATCAAAAAAAGGACTGTGGCTGGAACGACAAACAGGAGGCAGGAGAACAAATAGGGTCAAAATAGCAATAGACAACGATAAAAAAAAAAAAGCATGTATGATACAGATATGTTAGAGAAAAAAAAAAGCTATCTGTGCAGCCTTGTCTTGTGAAGAACTTAACCATCTGCTTGTTTACTACTTTAGAGAACAACTCATGCTATGTAGGTTTAAAAACCCACGGTCACCTCTGCAATGTTCTCAAATCTGTTATGTCAAAAAGGGTCTCGCCCCATACAACAGATTTCTTATCTTTGCTTTTCTTTCACACCGCAATATTTTCTAAGGCCGGAATAAAACAGAACATTACACCAAAATAAAATGCAAAAAACGTTTTTAATTTACTCTCTTACTTATAAATGGGGAAAAAATGCATCAACATGCAACCTTGTGGTTGTACCTCCCTGTAGATTGCTGGAATGGTTTCAACCATTATTATCCATTTTAATAACACTTCTTTATAAGGAGATTATAAGTCAGTTTATTTGCTTGAATGTTCATCTAGTGAGTGATATTTTTGGACAGATTTTTAGTAGTGTTACATCAGACTGGGGTCAGGGTGAGCACTGGATGCAAAGCCAATAGAAAGGAAGGTGCATCAATATGTGCCACCGCCAGACGGTTTGCTGTGTCTCTAAGCACAGGCTAAAGAGCATGGAGATGATTCAAGGAGATAAAAAGTTACTCCGGGAGACGTGGGTCATTGGAGGACCTAAACCCATCAGCAGGACTGGTAGGTGGGGGAGAAAAATACTGATAACAGGTATAGAAGAGCTTTGTTTTGTTTGTTTTTGAAATGCCATCTGTGATTTAGGTCAAACGTATGCGGTTTAAACAGTTGTTAATTTAACTTTTAGCAAATCTGGTTTGCTGAAACATTTTTAATCATGGATGACAGGAAGACACGTCGTGGTAACAGCTGCAACGACTGTCCTCATTAATAAACAGATCAAATACCAGCATTTCTAACATTTGTTCATTAGTTTGTTACCGTATAATTCATCAGATTAGAGCGGGGACAGCTTTATGT